GGCGGGCGGATGTGGGGTGCGGGAGCTGCACTGAGGCGGAGGCAGGAGGCAGGGCGGCTCGCGGCGCGCGAGGTCCCTGCAGAGCCGAGGGGAGGGAGGAACAGGGCTCCTGGCCGCAATAAAATGCGGGGTCAGTCGGATCAGACTGAGCCGGGAGAGACTCGGGCTCCCAGACCTCTCTGGCCGGCGAGCCTGAGCAGAGTCCAGGACTAAAGTGCATCACAAGCCTCCCCGCTGCAGCCACACACACCAACTGGAGACACATACCCGCCGGCACGGCCCGGTCCCCTTCCCCTCCTCCACCCGCGCCCCCGGTCGCTCTCCGCCCTCCCTCCTGCTTTTCTTTGCAAGACTCTTAACTTTTCCCCCCACTCACTCTCCAGCTAACCCCCCCCCCCCATCTTTCTCCGCTTTGAGTGTTCCGAGATGCTGCTAAAGCTAAAAGTGAAGGAGAAAGAAGCGACTAAAAATATCCCCCGGGGCCGCCCGGCTCCTTGAATGCGGGGAGGAGGGGGCAGGGGAGAAGGCGTGGGGCGGGGTGACGGGGAGGAGGGGACGCCGGAGGCGCCAGAGGGAGGGGTCGGGGGAGACGGAGGGTCAATTTCTCTTCTCTTTCCCCCCACTGCTCCCCTCTCCCGGCGGTTTGGCGCTGCTCGGAGCCCGATCCTGCAAAACCCGGGATGGGGGCGGGAGCGGAGCCGGAGCGCCCGCCCGCCAGCCCGCGTGTCAGGCCGACGTGGTCGGTCACCTGAAGTTCACGGAGGGTGGGGGAAGGGTTAAGGTTATGGTGTCTCGGGCTCGGGTTGTGTGTGAGCGTGTGCGTTTCCGCTGCAGACAGGCAGCGCGATCGATCTACCTCTCGCGAAATATCCGTGGCGGTGCCTGCCCGGGGTACTGGTAGGGGGGCGCAGGCTGCTCGGGCCGAGCGCCCCCGCGGCTCCGTGTCACCGGGCCGTGGCCGAAGTGGCGAGAAAGGGCACTTGCCGGCAGCCCGCTCCGCAAACATTCCTCTTTCTTTACCCTTCCCGGTACGCAAGAGTCGACGCACAGGGCTTGGGTTGTGCTTTTTTTCCCCTTCCTTAAAAAAAAAAAGAAAAGCCCCTGTACAGTCCTTTCTTCGTCTGCCCGCTAGAGGTTCTGAGGATAATATCACATATGTAATATATATGCACATAAAATCACTCTCAGGCGGCTGAGTGTGTAGAGAGATTTTGTGTGAGGAAGGAGGTGGAGTTGGGAAGGGCGAGTTGGGAGGCTCCGCGCTGCGATTCACAGAAAACTCGCAGCAGTTGGTGGAAGAGTGTGTGCGTGCACATGGCCGGCCGGCCGGCCACAGTTCCCAGCTCTTTTCGGGGGTGTGTGGGAGGAGGGAGAGGAGGCAGGAATTCTGGGGGGGCCGGGGGAGGCTTCCCCTGCTCAGACAAAATGGGCTTCAGTGTTCTCTGCGAACTTGCCCTTAGATGGCAACTTTGGGAGCTGATGAGCTTGTGTGTGAAAACCAGGGCGGCGAGGTTATTTGGTCATTTTCCTTTCTTCTCGTCTCCCTCTGCTTTGAAAAAAAAAAAAAAAAGAACTGTTGGCGGGGTTAGAGGGAGGGTGGGAGAGGAGAAGGGATTTATCTGTTTCGGCTGTGACGGAGATGGAACGCCTTCCCTCCCGTGGTGTGTAGCGCTTTCGGGCAGCTGCAGCCTGCCCTGCTGGTGACCTTGACCCTGACCTGGTGCGACTACCCTCTCTGTCTGAGAGGAAATTCAGGCTCCATTTTAGCTCGAGTGCTTGATCGGCCTCTCTGGCACGTTGGTGCCTGATGGTTAAGTTATATTTTGAGAGTGGGCTCTCCCACCCTGTTCTCTAATACTGTAGCCACTCACTTAAAAAAAACAAAAAAAACCTCCTTCTTCCAGTCACATAAAGCCACTTTTACTGAAGTAAGAAACAGTTACCTCTTGAAAACACGGTAAATGTCCCTCCAGTTTTTAAAGGGAAGCCTTAATTTGCTAAGCTTTTCCACTTATCTTTGCGTTGAATGGATTTTTGTGGATGTGTGCTGCCTTTTCTTCCCGTGGTTTACGCATGTTTTGTAGGCAGTTTCGTTTGGACTAAGAGCAGCTTCTGGGCAAATGGTATATTTTGCAATTCAGTCACAGTAACACAAAGCTTGCTAAGTGCTTGGTGAAGCCTGAAGAAATTTTCAGTAGTGTGGAGATTTAATAGATACTGTCTTTGGTAAAATTAGTGTTAATTTGTATTTAATGTAGAATATAATTGTGGGTCTAAGCTCCAGTTATAATGCTAACTCTTGTTTATTTATTTATATGTGGGAAGGAGTTTTCTTTCCCTAGAGAAGTGTTCTGTATCAAAGTTAAAATATAGTAAATTTGGGATTAAAATTGCTGCAGTAGAAGTTATCACAGGATTTTAAGAAGTTATACTGGGGCAGATTTAAAATCTGACTCTAAAAGAAAGAAGTGATGTGTGTAACATGCGGGTGTGGGGGGGCATGCGGAATGAGATGGGTAAATTGTTCTTGAAGTCACAGAGCCCTTCTGATTAAGTACAAAAGTTGTCGACAGCCACTGTTAATATATTGTTTTGAGAATCTGTGGAACCTGTAAACACACATTTAGAAAGTGCAAGTTAGAATACAAAAAAAAACCTTGTAAAATCTGAATCTATAGAAAATGTGGAATGCTTTTCCCTATTTGCCTCTGCCTCCCCCCAAAATTATGACTAAAAATTTTTAAAGCATAAACCACTGCTTGCTACCTGTGTACTGTTTCTGTTTGTTGAATCTATTTATCTTTTATTAAATGTAATAACTAGCCAGTCACAGACTGGATCTACAAAGCCCACTGCCCTCCCACTCTATGGCACAGAACACCAAGGAACCTGGAAGTTCCACCCTACAGTGGATTAGTCCTGGAAATCCAGTCTAGCACTTGGTATTATCTGATACCAAGTCTGGGGTGAGCCTCAGCCCCTGGCACGGTGTCCCATCAATTCCCTAGGCTGGGCTTCAGCCTGCTAAGGTTTCCTAGCTCCTTCTGTTCAAGTAGACACCCATGGGACTGTTCAGAACCGAATTAGCTTTCTGGATGGGCAAGCCTTTAACCTGACACTACTAACCTAAACCTTAGGTTTCTGATTTAAAATTCTACGCAGTCATTTCCTCCTGGGCCTCCGAAGTTTTTATTTTGTTTGGTTTGGTTTTTGTTATGTGGGCCTAATACATATGCAGAAAAAATGGCCTGTCCTGTACAATTGAATGGTGATCCTACTGTCTACAAAGCAAAAAGTTTTTTTATTAGCTTTTGGAGGAGATCCCCAACTCTTTTTGAGGATTGGCTTTAAAAATTATTACTCAAAGCCTTTATTTCTTGGCCTGGTGCAATAATTATCAGTTTAGGATTTAAATATGATTCTGCTGCTGTTGATGGCTCTTTTACAAAGTTCTTTCCCTTAGCAAGGTCAAATACATGTTCAAAAAATGTCCTAGAGGCTCTTTAAGTTATACCATGAACTTATCTTTAGCAGAACCCCAAACTTGATAGCTTAACATTGTTTGTCTGTCTAAGCAAGAGGAAGAGAGGAAAACTAAGACTGCTGCTGTTTGCTGGGCCTGGGACTGGGCGCTTTGTGAACATTATTTTATATGTGATCACAAACTGAAGAGGGATAGGATAAGGAAGGGCTGTCTCCTCTGCCTGTTGCATTTGTAACTCCTTTTACCATTGGTGCCATCAGAACGTCAGATTTCCTTATTAGCTTCAATTTACCCATAAATGTGTATGAGTTTAGATCCTATTATGTTTATCTTTGGAAATGTGCCTGCTGTCTATTCCCAAGGGAGGAGCACAAAGGAGAAGCTAATGAAACAGTTGTTTTGCTATTCCAGTATTTTCATTGTTTATTCGGTTCTGGGTCAAGACCTGAACAGGTTATTATGTTCTTCATTAATAAAACTTTAAAAAATTCTCTTTTTATTAAGTAAAAATAGAGAAGCAAAATGACTGAAAAGCAACAGGATCCCTTATTTTTTAGAGTTTTAACAGTCTTCATATATCTGATAGGAGCCTGGATGGCGCAGGTGGTTTGTGATCAGCTGCTAGCTTAAAGGTTGGCGGTTCAAACCCACCTAACCACTTTGTGAAAGAAAGGCCTGGCAAACTGCTTCAATAAAGATTATAGTCAAGAAAACCCTATGGAACAGCTCTGCTCTGTAACACAT